CATAGCTATAGCAGCTAAAATTTTAATAAAAGAGTTATATACTTTAACTCAATGACCTGACCCATGCCACATGTTACTTCCTTCTACAAACATCTTCTCTCCACTTCTAGGATCCTCAGCCTACACAGAAGTAATTTTTCCTTATACTAAGTAAAAATGGAAGTCTTGAGCAAGCAGTTGGGTTGGGGCGGGGAAGGCTCCGGCAACCATGAATGAGATTTGATACTCCTTTGGCTCTGAAAAATATGGAAGTCATCCTTTGGAATGTGCCTTTTTTTCCTTTAAACTCTTTATAATGATTATAAATTCAATACATGATTGTTATAAATAGCTTAGGGGTGGCTCCACTTTTTTGTAGTGAAAGTAGCCAATCCTCAAGTCTTGGTGAATACCCTCTTCATGTAATTTAAGCCAGTAAGATGTAGAAGTGCAATGTACAGTTATGATTTTTTTCATAGTTTTTTTTTTAAAAGATTTTATTTATTTATTTGACAGAGAGAGAGAGATCACAAGTAGGCAGAGAGGCAGGCAGAGAGAGAGGGGGAAGCAGGCTCCCTGCTGAGCAGAGAGCCCGATGTGGGGCTCGATCCCAGGACTCTGGGATCATGACCTGAGCCGAAAGCAGAGGCTTTAACCCACTGAGCCACCCAGGCGCCCCTTTTTCATAGTTCTTAATTCGGGGAGGTAGAGGAGAGTCACAGATCCCTTTAAAACTCTGATGAGAAGCTACACGTTCTCTCCCCAGAAAAATGAACATTAAGCACACACACACATAAAATGTTGCCAAAGAGCCACGGCACTGAAATTCCTATTTCAGGAAATCAGAGGCCATTGGAAAAGGGTGGCCTGGTGAACTCAACCAGCTAATGCGAGTCCTTAAGTAAGCTTCTTTCCCCATCTTGAGCTCGCTTCTTTTGTTATTAGGCCTGCTCTAGGGACTCTAGAATAATTTCTAAGCCACTTTCATGAGGGACTTTCATCTATACCCGCCAGAACTAGCCCCTATACTTTTTTTTGGAAGGGTCTGGATTTCAAAGACATTCATGAGGTTCCACTCAATCACAGCCTCCCTCTGGCAATCCTTTGTTCCTCTCTCAAAATACTGTCAGATTTGTGAAGCAAAACTATGCTTTTGTGAAGCTGGGCTGCCTATTTTTATCTGCCCCCTTATCACCCCATCTTCTGAAATGTGTTGTTTCTTCTCTGATTAGTGTTCCAGTCATGCAGGAGAGACCCAAGGCTCATGGATAAAGACCAATCAAGGCTTTGGGGGAAAAAAAAAAAAAGCAAAAAACCTCAACTTCTCCAACAATGGACATGGTTATACTTTATAAGGAACATGAGCAGAATAAAATTTGTTTAGGGAATTAGTTATGTGACAGCCATATGCTCAAACTCAGAAATGCCACAAATTAATCCTTGGGTAAGAGAAGATCAGCCACCATCTACAATGCCCCCCCTTCCTCCCCTCCTCCTTCTTAATTAAACACTGGAGGTGGCTAGCTTAATTAGGGAGAAAGACCTCCAGGGGTGCCTCTAAGCAAGGTGTAGGTTGTATACCAAACAAACACACAGCCAGGATGTCACTGGGATTAAAATTCAGCCCTAAGCCAAGAGCACAGCCTGAATCTGCCCGGAGGGATGTCTTCCTGATTCTGACAGGGCACCAGGGCTTACCAGTTGGCCCAGAAGACATCTACCATTCTTTAATCTGTCTGGACTGAATTTATTCAAGTGTCCCTTCAATCTAATCTGATTTAAAGTTGTTCTTAAACTTTAGCCAGAATCATCTGGAGGGCTTGTTAAAACACATTGTTAAAACACACACATTGGGGGGCGCCTGGGTGGTTCAGTGGGTTAAAGCCTCTGCCTTCGGCTCAGGTCATGGTCCCAGGGTCCTGGGATTGAGCCCCGCATCGGGCTCTCTGCTCATCGAGGAGTCTGCTTCCCCCCACCCCTGTCAAATAAATAAATAAAATCTTAAAAAAAAACCCCAAAAAACAAATTGGTAGGCTAGAACCCCAGAGTTCCTGATTCAGTAGGTTTGGAGAGGAGCCTGGGAATTTCAATTTCTAACAAGTACCCAAGTGGGAGCGGATGTTACTGGCCTGGGGACCTCGCTTTGCACCAGCGCTGTAAGCTACAGGCAAAGGTTTTTGTTTTGTTTTTGTTTTTTAACTTTGGATCTTTCTCATGTTTACTAATGCGAGAGCCTCACTGAGCCCATACAGACCAAAGAAAAATACGCCACTTCAGGTAGGCAGAACTGTAGGCGAACAGTGACACACCCATTTCCCTGAAAGGCCCCCAGTCCCTCACATGACCTCCAATAAGGGGCTGAGAAGGCAGTCTGTGGGCAGGTTATTTCCATCCATTTGATTGACTGAGTGTCTCCATCTGTATAAGGAAGGAGCCCCCTGTTTCCCTGGCAAGCAGCTCAGCTGGGGGCAAGGAGGCTAGTAATTTACATGAATCGATGGCATGGTTCTTAGACCCCTTGCTCTGAAAAGGCTGCTTGTTTCGGTTGAAGCTAAGATTGTGTACACAGTGGGGGGAGTGGAGACCTTCTCTGGGGAATACAGGGCTCCCCCATGATCTAGATCCACTAAATCACACACGCTTTTTCTGCACTCAGATACAGAAAGGCTTTTTGTCGATAGCCTCCTTGAGTTGTTAATGTGTCCACCTAAGCCATCCTGAGTAAATAGGTAGCTCTCCTCTGAGAGCTCTTCAGGACCAGAGGCCTCTATTTTCCTCTGATGCATTAGTCTAGCTTTGGGCCCCTGTAATAGTCTGAGAATCCCCCACCACCGCCCCGCCACCCCAGACTAAAAGTCTTTAAGTCTCTTCATTGCCCCTGGTGTAAGAGAAAAGAGTCGGTCTCCATTTTCTGTACTGAGATGTTCACTTACTGGATACCCACCCACATTTTTTATTTATTTATTTTTTTGTCTATACCCTGCCTCTGCTCAAACCCTCTTTTCTGATCAACAGGCCTGCAGTGTTTTGTCCTCTTCATCAGGAACCAGCAACCCTCTCTGATGCTGCCTTTTCTGGAAGGGCCTCTATGGCATTCTGGCACTACTGAGAAATCTATCCAAGTGCCCCATCTCTTGGCCCCTGAGAACCCCATTCATTTGCCAATTTATGCTTTGAATATCCTTTTGATATTCCCTTAGTGTTGGTGGCAAGGACACCAATGAGCTTAGAGGAGCCCTGGCTGGGAGACACCAGCAGTTCTTAAGGATTTTTCTATCTCTGCTCCCTTTCTAAAAATCTGAGGAAAGTTCCCCCGAGAGAAAAACAAACAAACAAACAAACAAACAAACAAAAACAACCAAAAAGCTTTGTTTCATAATCAGAGGAAGTCATCACAGCAGACTCTCCCTCTACCTGCCTCACAGAGACAACCACAGATAGGTCTCAGGGACATGTCCTGTGAGCAGCGTCCTGTGCGGGGGGTTGGGGAGGGTGGGGGGGTGGCATGGGTAAGAAAGAGCAAATGATGACCTTTCAAAAGAAATCTCTTCTAGAGGTCTGCCTTTGGACAAACCCAGAAAGACACATGTGCTCTTCAGAAGATATGGATCTGGGAAAAATGCAAAAATAAAACAAAACAGAAACAACCCTCCAGAAGCACATCTTTTCAAGGTGGCCCAGAAAGAGCGAAAAACATTGTTGTCTTTACCCGTTCAGTTCAATGTAGCTTTTCACTTTAAAGGGGATGCCTTCTGCTAAGAAGAGGGAGGGATTGGTGGAACAGGGATAGAAAAGCACCAAAACGCAGTCTAGGTTACCCTCAGAACAAATTCAGTGTGACTTAGGAAGAGGCTGAGGAGGAGGGCATTTCATTAGACGATCAGATCTAACCCAAGTCACCAACTGGGTGTGTTTGTTTCTATTTATAGTCAAGGACACTATCCTCTCACGACTGATTCTGGGCATGCGGAAAATTCGTGTGGACTAAACGACAATACCCAGGATCTGGAAAGGGTGGTCCATCCATCAAGGGATGAAGCAATCCTGATTTTCATTTACCGGGAATGTGCAGAACTTGTTTCATTCCTCCCAAAACCATGAAAAAAAGAAAGGAAGGAAGGAAGGAAAGGGGAAGGAAAGGAAAGGGAAAAGGAAAGGAAAGAAGAGAGAGAGAGAGAAAAGCCACAATAGTCTCCATTAGGATGAAGGGGCACCTATGCCACTGCCTTTGAATTTTTTCAGAATCCTTATGTTTTTGACAAGGGAGTGTTTCAAGTGTTCTCTGAATCAAACGACTGCTTTTACTTGATGCAATGGTTCAGAGAGTTTTGATCTTGAATCAAAGTTTGGGATAAATCAGGATGGGTTTGAAATCCATCCAAAAGAGAATTATGGAGCCCTGTGTTATGAAGTATGTCAGCATCAAACATACAGGGGTCCTATGTATTAGCCAATAACTAAGTACGGTTGACCCTTGAACAATGAGAGCGTTAGGGGTGGCAACACACACCCTCTTCTCCACCGGATTGAAAATCCATCCCCCAAAACTGAACTCCTAATAGCGTACTGTTGTCCTTCAAGCCTTACTGATAACATAAGCCACGGATTAACACATATTTTGTATGTTCTATGCAATCAGTTCTATATTATTACAACAAAGTAAGCTAGAGAAAAGAAAATGTTATTAAGAAGATCACAAGGAAGAGGGAAAAAAAAGAAAATCATAAGGGAAACACATTGATGGTTCTATACTTACTGAAAAAAAAATCTGCACATAAGCGGATTCACACAGCTCAACCCCGTGTTGTTCAAGGGTCAGCTTTATCGTGGTTATTCTAGACCAAGCTTCTATGATTACATTCTGCGCCGTTATGTGCCACAGACAGTGTTATTTCCACTTCAGGGGGCAACAGTCCTGCCTTTGTTGTCTTTCTAGGTAACATATGAAGCCAGATGGACTGCAGCCCAAATCAACAGGTTATGAAGTTGTTCTGGAAGTTATTTTGGGGAAGTTGACTTACCATACCACTCATCAACCCATGCAAAAGCCTGTCTATGTCCAATCAGCAGAATATCCCGGACCACCTACGAAAGTAAAAGAAGGACGTTGAAATAATCCCATGTTTGATTAAAACTACCAGGAAAATAGATTGTTCCCAATTCTAGGAATCCTGACAATTACACATTTCCCCATCCCTCTGTCCATGTGATAGCAAATACAGTCTCACATACACAGATCATGGGCTTGCTCACCTGCTCAGCCCTTCCGAGGCTATATGTGCTGTAAAATAATCTCTTCATCTTAACTGAAAGTTGGACTACGAGTGTATACACACTACGAACAACAGGTTGGCAGCACACGGCAATGACCGGAATGAATCTCTAGGCTAATCACCTTGAGTTTTCCTCTTCGTTCATCTTTTTAAAAACATTTATTTATTTGAGGGGCACCTGGGTGGCTCAGTGGGTTAAAGCCTCTGCCTTCGGCTCAGGTCATGATCCCAGGGTCCTGGGATCTGCTCAGCAGGGAGCCAACTTCTCCCCTCTCCCTGCCTGCCTCTCTGCCTACTTGTGATCTGTCTGTCAAATAAATAAATAAAATCTTTAAAAAATTTTTTATTTATTTGAGAGAGAGAGAGCGCACGAACAGGGGGAGGGGCAGAGGGAGAGGGAGAAGAAGTAGGCTTCCCACTGAGCAGGGAGCCCGATGCGGGGCTCGATCCCAGGACCCCTGGATCATGACCTGAGCCGAAGGCAGACACTTAACCGACTGAGCCACCCAGGCGCCCCTCTTCATTTATTTATTTATTTATTTATTTATTTATTCTTCTTCATTTATTTATACCTGAAATAGGTTCAATTTCAATAGGTGTCTCTCACTGGCACTAAGAGATCATGAACGTTGGAAATCAAGAATGCTTTTTTGGGTAGCAAGTGACTTCGCAGCAAAGGGTACTTATTCTTCTCTGAAGAAATATCCTAAATATTGCTCCAATTTTTTATTTTCATATTTGAAGGTGTGGAATACGAGATAAGTAAACACCTTTTTGTATGTGACTTTCATGTAGTGGAAGAGGGGGAAAAGGCAGTGTAATCAACTGTTATTGATAGAGATAAAATAAAGAGACCTTGACTAGAATAGAACATAATGGGAATGACAAGCCTGGCTAGAGACAAAAGGAATAAAATTGTTTCTTATGGTGACACATCATGGCCCTAGGAGACTAAGAAAGATAGATAGTTTGTGCGTGTCTGCATGTGTGTGTAGCGCTGTTCATGTGCCTTAATTTTATGGTATTCTTGGTGTCCTCTATAAATATGCTGTTTTGTGTTTCTTGGATACTCACGTGCTCCCTTCAACATTCCTTTCTTCCTGCCAAACAAATCCAGCAATTGTCAAAAACCTCTCATGAAAGGTTCAGGCACGTTTCAATAAATGAAAGATTTTAATCTGGTGAATTTGCAGAAGCAAAGGAAGCATTTATAATGATATGTTTATTTCTCCGAGCCTCTGGATATCTAGCGAAGCTTTTAGGATGCGGAAGGAGGAAATATGTCATGAAAATAAGAAACAACATGAAACCATACCCACTTGAGTGCTGACTGTGTCAAATTCATGGAAATGAAAAGAACAGCACTGGGGCATCAGTAAAATATACCCTATTACATTAAGCACAACACAGCTGTCTGCTGGAAACGAGAATTCAATAATGTGCTAATGGTTCGCTTTCGAACATTTTTTTTCCCCCCTTAACTGTGAATAGATTCTTAAAAAACAAAGGTGTTCAGAGAAAGGCATCCCTGGTGCTTTAAAACCATGCAAATACTAGCCTCAAATACTCATTAGCAACACGTGTGCCAGAGCAGGTGCGTTCTGGGGTGTTGGTAACACTTCCTTATATTTGGAAATGGGCAATAGGAAGGCCTTTTCCTAGAGCAGAATTCCTACAGGTATTTTAAAGAAACAGAATCTCAAAAGTAGCCAAGTCAGCTGCGAGGAAAGAAACACAGTGAGCCCTATGGCAATCCAAACAGGCTTTATGAAAGGCAGATATGCTAAGTACACTATATGCGGTCTAGTAAGAGAGCATTTTGGGTTAAAAAATAAGGGGAGGGGGAGTGGGGCATCTGGGTGGCTCAGCTGGTTAAGCATCTGACTTTTGGTTTTGGCTCAGGCCATGATCTCAGGGTCATGGGATCAAGCCCTGTGGCAGGCTCTATGCTCAGTGTGGAATCTGCTTGGTATTCTCTCTCCCTCTGCGCCTCCTGCCTTCTCTCTCTCTCTCTCAAATAAACAAATAAAATCTTAAAAAAAAAATACAGGGGGTGGGGGAGATGTTACAGTTAGTTGAAGAAGATACAGCTTAAGGCAGACCCAGAGCTGAAGCTGGAATATATTTACTCTGGGATCATCCTTCTGCTTAATAACTTGGGACACAGCAGGGAAACAAGTGGCCTCCCCAAACTTGATCTCCATGTGTTTCACTTTGTTCCTGCTTCTGGCTGGGCAGAGTGGGCTCTGGAGTGCAGCAAAAGAGCAGATCGACATACTTCTCTGTTTAAGAAAACACCAAAGTTGGGGTGTCTGGGTGGCTCAGTGGATTAAGCCTCTGCCTTTGGCTCAGGTCATGGTCTCAGGGTCCTGGGATCGAGCCCTGCATCAGGCTCCCTGCTTCCCTCCTCTCTCTCTGCCTGCCTCTCTGCCTACTTGTGATCTCTCTCTCTCTCTGTCAAATAAATAAATAAAATCTTAAAAAAAATTAAAAAGAAAAGAAAACACCAAAGTGGGGCGCCTGGCTGGCTCAGTGGGTTAAAGCCTCTGCCTTTGGCTCAGGTCATGATCTGAGGGTCCTGGGATTGAGCCCCATATCGGGCTCTCTGCTCAGCAGGGAGCCTGACCCCCCCCACCTGCCTCTCTGCCTACTGGTGATCTCTGTCAAATTAAAAAAAAAAGAAAGAAAGAAAGAAAGAAAGAAAGAAAGAAAGAAAGAAAACACCAAAGCTCTCAAATATGTTCTCGAGTTTGCTATTATCATGAACTCAAGTTCCATCTATTCCTTGGACCTCAAAACGTTATACATTTTATTGCCAACTGGTCTCCAATCTCAGTAGACAAATGCATCTGAGTAACACAAAGCTCAGTGCATTACGGCTAAATTCCAGGGCCCCCAAAAGAATTTCAGAAAGCTATTCTTTATCAGTTTTTAAGTGGAAAAATAAACAGATATCCAGCCTATCTGGAATGTAGAGACAACTCGGGGAGTATTTATTTTTATGAAAATAGGAGGCATTACAAAGGGCAGTGCTCAACATTGCATTTTCCATTTGTTTACATGAGGGTAAGAGTCATGTCCAAAGCTCCTAATAAACTTAAATCATCACCAAGTCTTGTTCCTGTGACAAAATGGACATGTTTAGCTAAAGTGGGTATACATTTGAAATCTCTGTTTTGAGATTTTTTTTAAAAGATTTTATTTATTTATTTGATAGAGACATCACAAGCAGGCAGGCAGAGAGAGAGAGGAGGAAGCAGGCTCCCCGCTGAGCAGAGAGCCCTATGCAGGCCTTGATCCCAGGCCCCTGGGATCATGACCTGAGCCCAAGGCAGAGGCTTAACCCACTGAGCCACCCAGGCACCCAAGGTAACAGAATTATTAAATGACCAGAAATACTGAGGTGCACTATCTAAAGGACCACTGGGATTTCTTGGGGTGTCTTGCCTTAGGTGGCTATATTTGCAGGATCTTTTTTTTTTTTTTTTTAAAGAGAGAGAGAGAGGAAGCACATAAGCACATGACTGGGGAAGGAGAGGCAGGCAGAGGAAGAGAGAGAATCTTAAGTAGGCTCATGCCCAGCATGGATCCTGATGTGGGGCTTGATTTCACAGCCCCGAGATCATGACCTGAGCTGAAATCCAGAATCAGATGCTTAACTGACTGAGCCCCCAGGTGCCCCTATATTTACAGGATCTTTTTTTTTTTTTTTAAGATTTTATTTATTTATCTGACAGATAGAGATCACAAGTAGGCAGAGAGGCAGGCAGAGAGAGAGGAGAAAGCAGGCTCCATGCTGAGCAGAGAGCTCGATGCGGGGCTCGATCCCAGGACCCTGAGACCATGACCTGAGCCGAAGGCAGAGGCTTTAACCCACTGAGCCATCCAGGCGCCCCTTACAGGATCTTTTGAGTGAGAATTATCTTGGCGGCCAAACACACACATCAGCCCTGTGCCTCTGCCTGGAACCCAAGTACCAGAGTATGAAGTACAAGTACTTCTGCCTGCAACTAGATTAGCCTGATACCAAAGGGAAGAAGTATTTAGTACTGAAAACCCAACTTCCTGGATCTACTCATCCAACAGACATGGAGGTCACAGAATCAGAAATGAAGTGCAAAGTATCAAATTAAACCCATACGTAAAGTGGATTTTCATGAAAACAGCCTTTTCTAGATATAGTGATGTCGTGTTGGCTCAGCACCGGGCGTGTGTTGGGCATCGTGCACTCCAGCTTACGGTAACGGCAGTCACTGTGTCCACAGCCCAGGAACCGCCATTTACTCACTTACCTTATGTACAAATTGTTCCACTCTGGTCTGAAGTCCCCAGACCTCGAACTTCACGGTCACCAGCTTGTAGGAACACATGATGGGTTGATGACTATCTCTCCAGCCTTCCCTTAATTGCCCCCGTCCTGTCTTCTCGGACTTGAAATGCTTGGGATCCTGGGGGGGAAAAAAAAATCAAAGAAATGAACGTAAAAGTTTAACCATTATTTAGAGGAAATGTCTAGAATAGGCAAATCCATACAGACAGCAAGATTAGTGGTTGCCAGGGGTGGAGTGACTACTAATGGATAAAAGGGTTCCTGTTGGGGCGATGAAAATATCCTGGAATTAGATAGTGGTGGAAGCTGTATCACTTTTGTGAATATACTAAAAAACCCTGAATTATACACTTAATTAAAAGGGTGAGTTACATACATCTCAATCAGAAAGGGACTTGCAATGTAAAGAAAGGCCAACATGATAGCTTGCCTATTCACATGTCAAAAACGTGACCTATTTATTTATTTTTAAAAAGATTTTATTTTACTTTTTTATTATTACTGTTTTTTAAAAGATTCCACTCATCTATTTGACAGACAGACATCACAAGTAGGCAGAGAGGCAGGCAGAGAGAGAGGAGGAAGCAGGCTCCCCGCCGAGCAGAGAGCCCGATGTGGGGCTTGATCCCAGAACCCCGGGACCATGACCTGAGCCGAAGGCAGAGGCTTTAACCCACTGAGCCACCCAGGCGCCTCAGAAACATTTTTTTTTTTTCACAGTCCAACCCGTTCCTGGGTGTGTAAATTGTTTCAACAACTTTGGACAATTGCTCAGCACTATCTAGGACTGTCTACAGAGCTTAGCACGTGCCTATCTGTGACCCGACAATTCACTTTCTGCGTGAAATGGATACCTTTGGCCACCAAAGGGTGTACCAGAACAGTCACAACAGCTTCAAACATAACAGGCAAAACTGGAAATAGCTCAAATGTTCATCAACAGGAAAACGGGCAAATTGTGGGTTATTCCCCCGATGGAGTACCACATGCAATGAAAAAGAGCAAAGTGCTGATCCACACAAGACTGCCTATGATGCTCACAGACAGTACGCTGAGCAAAAGTAGCCAGACACAGCAGTGTACAGAGCATGATTCCAACTGAAGTTCAAGGTTCTCTATGGCGTTTAAAGTTGGAATAACAGCAGTAACTTTTTGGGAGGGAGGGTAGATACGAAGAAACACAAGGGAAATGTCTAGGCTGACTGTCGATCTGGATGACTATACGTAAAAGTCCACTGAGCTCTAGGGGCACCTGGCTGGCTCATTCGGTAGAGCGTGTGACTCTTGGTGTCGGGGATGTGAGTTCAAGCCCCATGCTGGGTACAGAGTTTACTTGAAAGTAAAATAAAAATGAAAGTAAAAAAAAGTTCATGGAGTTTTATTTATTTTTATTTTTAAAAAAAATTTTAGAGATTTTATTTATTTATTTGTCAGAGAGAGAGAGAGAGAGAGCACAAGCAGGGGGAGCAGCAGGCAGAGCAGGCAGAGGGAGAAGCAGGCTCCTTGCCAAGCAAGTAGCCCGACACAGGGCTCGATCCCAGGACCTTGTGATCATGACCTGACCTTAAGGCAGATGCTCAATAGACTCAGCCACTCAGACGACCCACTTCACTGAGTTTTAGACATAAGATTTGTGTTATATTATACTTAAAAAATGAAATAAGGTTAAAATTTTTTTGAACATTTAACCATTTAAGATTTTTTTCAATGACTGCTGTGTGGACAGCTACTGTGCTACCTTTCTAGCATCTCTTCTGGACCACTATCCCAAAGCCACAACCTTTCCCTTGTGCCTTACAAAGCTCCTGCATCCCCATGCTCCAAAGTTCTAGAACCTTCTAGACAAGTGTTAGTTCTTCTTGAAATTCCTTCTCCCCAGCCAACTCCTCCATTTTGACTGACTCTTCTTTTCTCTCTTTAAAACTTCTTAAGACTTGATCCACACTCTAGCACATATGAACTTCAAAAAACATTATGCTGGGGGGCGCCTGGGTGGCTCAGTGGGTTAAGCCTCTGCCTTCGGCTTGGGTCTTTATCCCAGGGTCTTGGGATTGAGCCCTGCGTCGGGCGCTCTGCTCAGCGGGGAGCCTGCTTCCGCCTCTCTCTCTGCCTGCCTCTCTGCCCACTTGTGCTCTCTGTCAAATAAATAAATGAAATCTTTAAAGGAAAAAAAAAATTATGTTGAGTGAAAGAAGCCGCTCACCAAAAGCCACATTCTAGAATTCCATTTATATAAAATATCCAGAGTAGACCTGTCTACAGCAAAAGAAAGTAGAGTAGTGGCCCAAGGCTGGGGAGTAGGATGGTAAGGGGAATGACTGCTATGGAAACAGAGGGTCTCGTGGGGGTGATGAAAATACTCTAAAATTAGATGTAAAGTGATAGCTTACAAGTCTGTAAATATGCTAAAAACCATTTAATTTTGTACACCTTAAATGGGTAAACTCTGTGTTATGTAAATTATGTATCACCAAAGCTGTGAGAAATACAAAAACGCAATATAAAAACACACTATGCGGGGCGCCTGGGTGGCTCAGTGGGTTAAAGCCGCTGCCTTCGGCTCAGGTCTTTATCCTAGGGTCCTGGGATGGAGCCCCGCATCAGGCTCTCTGCTCAGCAGGGAGCCTGCTTCCCCCCCACCCCCGCCTGCTTCTCTGCCTACTTGTGATCTCTGTCTGTCAAATTAAAAAAAAAACAAAAACTTAAAACAACAACAACAACAACAACACAATATGCGACACCTTGGTAAGACTTTTCAGGGTGCGCACTGGTTTTGAGTTGGCTGACATGCCTGCATAAAATAGTATTGTAATAGTCATTATCCTAAGCACGTTTACTGAGTGCACAATGCGAGCACAGTAGAGAACCAGGTATTACATTATGCTCTCCCTTGACCTGGTTTCTTCACCCTGAGGGGTGTGGGAGGGCAGCCACTGTGTGTGTGTGTGTGTGTGTGTGTGTGTGTGTATGTGCGCACGTGCACATGCGCTGCCTGGAAGGTATGGTCTATGTGTGGTCATAGAGCACTTCCTTCCACTCAGAATGAACTCTGCTCTACTTCAATGATTTCCATTCCCTGACCTTCCCCTGGGGTCCCTCATTTGCAGTGGCTGCAGTAGAAGACATTGGACCTGGGGGTAGAAAGGACCAGAATGAGAAAAATAGATAATTAATGGAATACCAAATTGACAGAAGAGATTCTGAAAGACAAGAAGGAAAAGAGAATGCATCCTAGGTATCCCATGGGAATAAATCCTCTGTAAAGGGAGGGGCTGGCAATTTGAGTATGGGTAGCATTTTCAACTCTTTGGTACCAATGTTGTCATGCTGTATTTTTAGCACCTGAACCAACCCAGGAAGTGCCACTGACATTGCACGCACAGGTTTGGAAAGATTATGTTAATGTAATAACATGATACATGAAAAAGGCACCAGCACAGGGTCTGGCTCATGGCAAGTGCTTGGGTGATGTTGACTACTGTACTTTGTAAGGCAGTCACAGAAGCATCAGAGTTAACACAAGCAATCCTGCAGCCCGGGGCAGAGACACTAGTATCTTTCCAAAGCACTCTGGAGTGGCTGGTAAAAGATTAGACAGTTCAAGGCCATGGGACTAATTCCTGCCTACCCCATGTTCTTATAACCTATAATGCCATCGGGAGTAAAAAGAGAAGACCAATAATAAATCAAGAAGTATCACCAGGGAGACCAATAAATCAAGAAGTATCACCAGGGAGACTACAGTAGAAAATCTCCAAGGACGGTCTCCATCATTTCCGTTCCTTCCTGCACCAGTATGCTGTTCCTCTCACCCAGAGGTGGAGGCAGTCTCCCCTCACTTCAAACCTAACGTGACCTAGAACTTGCTTTGACCAATTGCAAATGGCAGAAAAGATACTGTGTCAGTCCAGGCCTCTACAGGAAGCTAGAAACCAGAAGCGGGACACAATGTAAAAAGTCTGGTTTGATTACCCTGAGACTGCCATGTTGGGAGGAATCCCACGCTAGCCTTGGGGAGAGGTGCTCACCCACCCCAGCTGAGAAGCCAGGCATGTAAGTGAACAGGTCAAACCTGATATTTTCAGTCCAAACATATGCCACGAGGAACAGAAGATCTGCCCGGCTAAGCCTAGTTGGAAGTTGCAGAATTGTGAGAAGTAATGCCCTGTCATTGTTTAAGCCGCTCAATTCTGGAGTGGATGGTTCCTTAGCAAGAGATCACAAACTAGATGCATCGTGTGGATTACAGAACAGGTGCAAACACTGGGTTCACCACCGATGAAAAGAATGAATTCTGCTTTGTCTTTTCACAGAACATACCAGAGGTTCATACAATAAACCACATGCCTGAAAGCCCCAAAGGAGGAAATTCAGAGCTGCCAAGTGGTTCATGGGAGTTAAAATGTAGGGGCTGGAGCTAAACAGGGAAGGTTGGTTTCTTTCCCCATCTGCCTACTGACTTTCCAACAAAATGCAAATGAGGAGTCCAATCCCCAGCACATGAACAGTAATGATCTTGAGCCTCAAAAGACACGGCCTCCATGCTTTGGCCGGCTAGACTACGGATGGGCAAACCCTTGAGATCCTGAGAGGTGATCGTCTTTCTGAGTTAGAGAGTAGGTAAACAAAGGAATGTTCTAGAGCCAGCAAGCAGAGGAAAGCAGGAGGGCGAAACTCCTGGTAACCCAGACGTGCAGCAGACAAAGGAGCTGACAAACAGCAGGGGGCCAGGCACAGAAGGTGGAGAAAAGAAGTAAAAGCCACGGTCTGAGCTGCCTTTATGCCTCTGGGGGCCTGTGCAGGGGTGTGAGAGAGGCCTGAAGATGGGAGGCCCCTGGGCCATCTAGCTGCACCCTGCCCCGATTCATGGACGAGCCTCAGTTTGGCACCTATTCCAGAATCTTCATATCCATTCCAGGTTCAGGATTCTCAAAGAATAAAACAAGAGGGGCACCTGGGTGGCTCAGTCGTTAAGCGTCTGCCTCAGGCTCAGGTCACGATCCCAGGGTCTTGGGACCGAGCCCTACATCAGGCTCCCTGCTTGGCAGGAAGCCTGCTTCTCCCTCTCCCACTCCCCTTGCTCGTGTTCCCTCTCTCGCTGTCTCTCTCTGTGTCAAA